AGATTATGGAGATAAAAAAAAAAACACTGAGCACACAATGAGCTCAAAAATATTTTACCTGCATTCAGAGCAGTAAAGTCTGTAAGTTTCAGAATATCAGCAGTAAATTTCGATGTTAGATAGAAGCTTCACACAGGCAACAGTAACCATCAGTGAAAATTGAAAAAGTACCTCAAAGGTACAGGGCTAACACTTAGATACAGACAACCACACACACCCACAGAAAGGCACCGGGTCAGCCTTCTTGCTGTGAGGCTACAGTGCTAAACACTGCACCACCATGCCACCCCTGGTTTTGACTGTTCATCTGGCAAAACATACAAATCAAACAAATCATCTTGGACTCTGGGAAACTGTGTGAAACTTCAGTTTTTTTCTATTAGTTGCAGCCCTAAAACAGACGATAAATAGGGTGAGAAGTGACAGCAGAACCTCAAACATCCACCCACAAAAAAAAAGAAAAGGTCGTCATGACCCACCTCGCTGCCTGAGAGTTCAGTGCCATTGAACACTAAGCAACTGAGATGTCTTCTCATTTCTCACTTTTAGGACAGAATCTAGATCACGTGAGGCATCTCTGCTTTTCTCCTGGTGGACCTGAAACCCAAACCTCACTGTGGTTTATAGGACAGCCTCTAAAATGAAATGTTCTATATTCTGACAGGCCATCTTTGTCGTCACAACCCCACCCCCCAGTTGTAACAGACTGCAGCTGTTACACATCGGTGTGTATCCTGGAGATGTTATAACGGTCTTACAAACAAACCTTTGCACAGCATGACTACAGGTGCCTGTTAGGACTGTAACTTTGTTAATATTCAATCAGTGGCCTAGTAGTGTTAGCACTATTGTCTAGGCAGATGTGGGGCAAATGAATGGACAGCCCAACAGAGAGTCCCAGTGAGGTGCTGGGCCACCATGTGACACCAGAACAGCTCCACCTTGACTCTCCAGGTCTCTGAACCCTCCTGGAGGGATGAACACCATTCCTCCAACAGATGTTCCCTCATGTGGTGTTTTGATGATGGTGGTGGAGACGCTGTCCAACACGTTGCTCCAACATCTCCCATAGCTGTTCAACTGGGCTGAGACCTGGTGACTGCTATTTGTTGCTCCCCTTAGGGCAGAGACATGCCAAGCCGACATAAAAGAACTAGCAGCAACAGAGGGCGACTGCTGTGTCACCTCACATTGCCTTTTTCTGGGCCAGTCGGGTTGAGAAAGTGGCACCTGAACACATCGCACAACAGCCAACCAGCAACTATGTTCTGCGCCTGCGCAACAGAAATGCCAGCAGGTGGCAGTATCTGTACTCATCATTTAGAAAGGTAAATGTGTGAAATCATGCAGCGACAAGCTGAAGGGGCTTTCCCAAACCATTCCTCTCTCGTGCACTGATTCACTAAGCTAAAAACCCAGTCAGAGTGGTCTCCCTCACTGACGAAGCCAAAATGGCCGACACTGATTCAACATGTCAAATTGTCTGAAAAACCACTGACAGGGTCCAACAAGTGCCAACTGTACAGAACACACCAGGAAGATGAGGGCGACAGATGCTCAACAACGGCCTGACAGTGGCCGATGGCCGACTGGCGGCTTGGTGTGTCACAGCCCAAAAACCACTCAGACTTATTAATGCCCTTCCTCCCCCGCTATGCTGTGGCCGTTGGTAATCACAATAAACCACAGTTAAGCCAATGGTGGAGTGAAAGCATCAACCCCACCTCCCTGCACTTTTATTATCCTTCACACTTTTTCAGCTGTCCCCTCCCTCCGTTCCCACTCCTTCTGTCCTCACGTCCCAGCCTCTCTGTCTGGCCTGCACTACTTGTGTGTTGGCTATTATCATTTGGCATGATGCGTCCATTGCTACCAAAGAGTGACAGTACGCTAATCTTTTTAGTACATGGGATACAAAACATCAGGTACCCTTAAAACATGCACTTAACCCCCAAATGCTGCAGTGAAGCAGTTCAGTCCACAGCAGTAGGCTGTTTGGTGACTAAAGACTACAAGTCCTGAAGCTAACGGTTGCTAATATATGAAACTGTTTGATTATGAAGCAAGACGGTGGTGAATGAGGTCAATATTAAGCTGTTGGAATAAAGAAGTGGAATAGCATTAAATGTGTTCTTTTGCCCTTATTTTCTCGATTTCACCTCTGTTCTTCCATGTCAGCCTTCCAGTTTCTCCATAGCGTCTGTCTTCTCCGTAACATCACCCTCAATATCTTTTGATTACGCCCGACTGTCTCATTTTGTCTGTCTGTCTCCACATCTAACCACTAAATCAAGGGGCTATTCTTGGATCACTAGTGCAGGAATATGATCAGACGAAACAAGCAGACAATAGAACATAAACTTAAATCATGTCTGATGTATTCATCACAAAGTGGGACGTGCATTTATCTGTGGACAGGATCTGACGTCAAAAATCTGGCTTTGTAGTGTGAGTAAAAAACTGAGGGGTTTTACATATATGGATGAAGGTTGATGAAACATGGACAAGTTAGTTTGTAGTGCCACAGCTACATCTTAAGTTCACACATTTAAAAGAGCACAAGAGACAGGAGGGTGCACCAGCAGGAAGGAAAGAGGTACAGCTGCTGCCAGTGTTAATCAGTCAGTGGTAACAGCACTGTGCCTCTGTTTCTCTCAGGTTCCATGAGGACCAGACCCTCAGTGCACGCTCCCTTTTTGAGCACACACAGCAGTCCTCATCAGCATCATCACATAGAGATCACACCATCTTGAGTACAATCACCAAAGCCTCTGCTACCTAACTGATATGGCATCGTCTATTCACACTTTCCATGTGATGTAACTAGAGAGATTTTCCACAAGTTATATGTAAACTTGGCCAAAGCTGGACTCTGGCAGGACTTCATGTTACATTGCTTAACTAGACACACAAAGTGCAGGGCAGAGTTCATCCACAGCAGGAGGATGAAGCCTGTGGTCTGGGTTGCATTCAAATAAAGTGGAGGTGTGGCCATTTATACATCTGTGTATCACCTAAATATGTTTAGCTGTGCACACAAAATAAGGAGGCTGCCATTAAAATGCCGCCTAAATAACACATTGAATTTGACAAATATTTGAAAATTGTCGGACATTTGTATCCAGTCTGGTGGCACGAGCTCCCTTATGGAAACCTAAGACCACCTTAACTTGAACCTAACCTAAGGATTTATCCTACACTTTATCCAGAATGACTTCACTTTGCATAAATGTCTGAAACCTAGACTGTTCCAAAAAGGATGGAGGCTCTTTCTCTCTCTTTTGCACACACACAGGATCCTTCACTGTGACTTCACACGGTGTACACGTTACACACTGCACTGAGTCACGCACCTCACTTCACTTCAGCAGAGTGAAACATCTGTAAACAAGAGCAGCAGCCGAAGCCCAGTTTTGAGTTGGCAAGACCACAATTCTTAATCAAAACCGTAGCCTTGCAGTCCAACAGCAGGCCAGCAGCAGAGAGCATCAGTGTCCCACAGTGTCTCTGTATAATCCAGACAACACAGGGACGACAACAAGAAAGCTGTCAGAAAGAACTGTAACAGAGCTGGGCAATATATTGTAATGTGAGATACATCAATAATCAGTGTACTTTCATAATGTTTAGCTCAATAACATACCATGGTCATATACATGTGAGTGTGTATACAGCCCGTAGTATAACATTACGCGCGATAAAAGTTACTATAGTAACTAAACTCTAATTAGCACCAGATGTAGTAACATCATCTGTCCATTCACCCACTAGCTACTGTATAAACACTAATACCTGAGGCCACAGAGAGGACTGGAGCCAATCCCAGCCTGCACTGGGGGAGACACAGGGTCCACCCTGGACAGGTTGCCGGTCTATCACAGGGCTGACACATAGAGACAGACAACCACACACACTCACATTCACACCAGGGGCAGGTTAGTCACCTGTGAACCTAAACTGCATGTCAGGCAAAAACAAAATGTTGAATATAACAGAAACTCATTTTTGTATTACAGTATATAAATACTTAACTTAGTGGCAGCACTGTTAGCCGTTTGCTATTATCCATGATGAAATAACTGAATAAAATGATATTGGGTGTTTTTGGTCATTGTGCCTTTAAAAACAACACATTCTCCTTTTTGCTTTACTGTTCAACCCCTTCAAGCTCATACACACCTTGCACCACCTAACCAAAGTTAACTAACTTACCCACAGCTACCCGTACACCACCGTGTGCACTCACTACAGCAGTTGGAGATATTTACCATAAACAGTGACCATATTCAATAGTCACTGACAGTCTCAGTGCAAAACTGAGGTTCAAGTCACTTCTCTGCAGCTGCTCCTTGAGTTGCTAAAGCCAGCTACGCTGCTGCTGGCCTTGTCTCACTGAAGCATAAGAATAAGCTGAACAAATCTACCACAGCAGCAAAACCCCAGGATTCAGGAGTATGACTGATACCACAAGCACTAGAAACGTCCAAGTAATGTGAGGTCACACAATGAGACCACAGACAAACATCCTGCAGGAATATGCAGCATGAGCTTTCTCACTTGGGAAGTGGTTCCTGTCGCCTTTTGGTACAGTTTGAAGAAAGGCCACAGAATCCTGGCAACCATCAGTAATTTAAAGTTATGGCTGACAGAGAAGGCTAAAACGAGCCGGTACACTATGCAGCAGCACAGCCCACTAGGCCACTGTTCTCCTTCTTAAACCATTTATCCTTTCAAATTGGACAATCAGCTCTGGTAGGCATCAGAACATTTTGTCAGGCATGCATCATGTAACACATGTAGGTGAAAAAAGACATGACACAGCGCGTCCCTCCCCCCCGGATCACTGCGGTACCTTGCACCCAAATGCAGGCCGGTGTCCCTGCAAAAGAAGGAAAAAAACAGCATGCACCTCGACTGCTTGCTCTCACACGGGGAGGGACAAAACAAAACGACATATCGTGGACAGAAGAATCATCCTGTCGTCCTTCTATCGGGCTTACCTTCAGCTTTGGTGTCAGTTCTCAGGTTTGGGTTTGTCCTCCTCCAAGACGCTGTTGGCTTGAATCGATGAGGAGAGCGATTTATCAATGGAGGAGAGTGACGCTCCGCTTTTATTCCAACAGGGTCTTCCCTCGATTAGTCCTTCTTAAAGGAGGAAGCTCATTCTCTGTGTAATTACCGAAGCAGCCCGGGGAGTGTGTACCGTAGAAATACAACACATCGGAGCATTACAAGCGCGCTGCGTGCGTCGGTGACCGCCGGCCGGGAGATACTGTCGAGCCGGTGGATGGTGATGGTGGTATCCATAGAGGTCCCTGTTTCCACCTGACACAACCTCCCCTTCCTCCTCCTCCGCCTCCTCTTCTTCTTCTCCGTTGGTGATGCGGGAAAGAAAAGCCAGCATCAGTGCGGCGAGGGGGGCATAGAGGGAGAGGGGGGAGAAGGAGAGAGAGAGAAAGAGAGGGGGGAGAGAGGGAGACAGAGCGAAGGAGGGAGAGGGAGAGAAAGGGAGAGAAGGGGAGGGAGAGAGGGAGAAAGAGACAGAGGGAGAGAGAGGGAGATAGAGGGAGAAAAAGATGGAGGGGAGGAAAGAGGGAAAGGGACAGCGGGAGAGGGGAGAGAAGGAGAGAGAAAGGGTGAGAGAGGAAGAGAGGGAGAAAGAGACAGAGAGAGGGGGGAGAGGGAGAGAGGGAGAAAGAGATAGAGA